AAGGATTTTAGAAATATGGGCTGTATTTCCACCAACTATAATGTTAACAGCCCACTGTTGGGAACTACTCAGTAGACATCATCTTAAGAGGATATTTTGGGCATAACTATAATGACTAATTGTTGTGGGTCAGTCAGGAGAGGACTCCTCAGGAGGAGAGGACTTCTAAGGAGAAGAGGAGTCCTGTGCAGTGTTCCCTCTAAGCTGAGTTAATGTGAGCTAGCTCACAGTTTTTTAGCCTCCGGCTCACACATTTTTGTCTTAGCTAACTAATTTATGCTCACAGGACCCCACAGCTCAGAGGGAGCCTGGGTCGTAATCCGCCCTGAGCCCGCCGTGCTCAGGAGGGAGGGCGTAGAAGCCCCACAGAATGAATGAATGAATGAATGAATAAATAAAATGGCTGCCCCAGGGGGCGGAGCGACACACAGAGCAAGGAAGCTCAAGTGCAGGGGCGAGGAGGCATGCGTTTAAGAATGCTGTTGGGAAAGAGGCGTGAAAGAGAATAAAGCCAAGACTGCAGTAACATCTGCCACCGAAGCAGTGTTGCATTAATCTGCCAGGGGCCAGTCAGAAACCCTGCTGGGCAGACGCTCCACCTGGAGAGCCAGGCTGGTGCAGTGGTCAAGAGCGGTGGACTCTAATCTGGGAGAACCAGGTCTGATCCTCCCCCCCCCACTAGTGGTTTGTCACCAATGCTGGGTGACCTTGGGCCAGTCCCAGTTCTCTCTGAGCTCTCTCAGTCCCACCTGCCTCACAAGCTGCCTGTAGTAGGGAGAGGAAGGGAAGGCGATTGTCAGCCGCTCGGAGACTCCTCAGGGTAGCGAAAAGCAGGGTATGAAAACCGACTCTTCTTCTGGTCCCACCCACTTTCTGAAAACATTTGGTGGGCACCGTTGTAGGTGTTGGCGGGGCCCACGAGCACCACGTTGAGGACCCCTGCCGTAAAACCATTAACGTTTGGAGGAATTATAGGGAGGAGACACTGTTATGTCTGGCAAGTGTTGTGGGGTTTTTTTCTTCCTTGGTCGTGAGAAACTTAACTGTGCCACATCTTGGCCCGACTGTACTTGGGTGACCTGTCATTCATTCATTCATTCATTCATTCATTCATTCATTCATTCAGCTTTCTTAACTCCACTTCCCCGCTTGTGTAGGGCTGAGGGCCAGTGTTCCCTCTAAGCGGAGTTAGTGTGAGCTAGCGCACAGTTTTTTAGCCTCTGGCTCACGGGAAAGAGGATTCTGGACAAAATGTCAGACCCCCAAAGCAGGAGAACAAACCCACGTTCCAAAGAAGTAAGATTTATTTCCAAAGCATGGTTGATCATGAACATACAGAGAATTGTCCAGAATGACTACAATACACAGGGGCAATATAATATAGGAACTTCAAACTTGGTTAACCCAATGGGCTCAATTCCCTCGCAAGGGAGTTGATTAGAAAAGGCGCGAAGCAGCCTGAGAACTCCAACGGCTCATACCATAAACACAAGTGTAGTTCACACGGGAATCTAATTAAGCAAGGCAAGAAGACATAACACTCCGTCGTCCACCTGTAGGAGAAACTTGGCGGTTACAGTCGCATACCAGAAAAGAATAACACGGGGAGGGAGGGAAGAGGGACACGTCCCAGAGAAATGGCAGCTCGCTGACAGTAGGAAGGTATAAGGATCAGAGCGGGAGTCTGTATAGTCTTGATAAGCAGCTTTTAACCCCAGACAGACAGAGGAATCTAGGAAACATAATAAGAGCCAGTGGCAGTCTAGCAGGTAGAAGGAGAAGAGAAGAGATTGGATTTATACCCCGCCCTTCACTCAGAGTGGCTTACAAATTCCTTTCCCTTCCCCTCCCCACAACAGACACCCTGTGAGGTGGGTGGGGCTGAGAGAGCTCTGACAGAATTCCTCTTTCAAGGACAGCTCGTGACAGAACAATGGCTTGCCCAAGGTCACCCAGCAGCTGCAAGTGGAGGAGTGGGGAATCAAACCCAGTTCTCCCAGATTTGAGTCCGCATAATTAGCCACTACACCAAACTGGTAGAGAGCTGGACTAGGATTTCAGAGAGATCCCCCCCTCCATCCTCATGTGGAAGCCGGCTGGGTGACCTTGGGCCAGTCACACACTCAGCCTGACCTACCTCACAGTGATGTTGTGAGGATAAAATGGAGGAGTGCAAAACAAGACCTGGAGACCAAGCCCTGCGAGGAAAGGCTGAGGGACTTCTTGGGAATGTTCAGTCTGGAGAAGAGGAGGTTGAGGGGGGACAGGATGGCTCTCTTGAAGCCTTTGAAGGGCTGTCCCTTGGAGGAGGGCAGGGAGCTGTTGCTGTGGGCAGCAGAGGAGAGGACTCGTGAGAATGGGTTGAAATGAAGGGTGGGAAGGTACCGGCTGGATCGTAGGGAAAAGCTTTTTGACAGTCAGAGTTGTGCCACAGTGGAATCAGCTGCCTGGGGAGGTGGTGAGCTCCCCCTCCCTGGCAGTCTTTAAGCAGCGGCTGGACAAACACCTGTCAAGGATGCTCTCGGCTGATCCAGCACTGAGCCGGGGGCTGGGCTAGATGACCTCTATGGCCCCTTCGATCTCTGTGATTCTTTGTAAGCCACTTAGGGTCCCCATTGGGGGGAAAGGTTGGGTATAAACGCATACAATTAAAAAACCGGAAGCAGGACCATATTCCTTCCCTGTTTATCTCTGCACTCTGCTTAGCTAATAGCCGTTGCCTAGTGTCCATTGGTTGGATCTTTTTAATAGCTGCGTTTGCAGGTCTTTCACTGTTATCTGACTTGTTCTGATAGAATGTTGTCATAACCCGCCTTAAGTCCATTCAAAGAGGGGGGAGGGACCTTAAAGGAATCAAGGCACGTGATAATTCTTGTGGCTTTTTTCCTCGACAGAGCTGAAAAGGTCTCTCTACGCCCTGTTTTCTCAGTTTGGCCACGTCGTGGACATTGTGGCTCTGAAGACGATGAAGATGAGAGGACAGGCCTTTGTGATATTTAAGGAGCTCGGGTCGTCCACCAACGCCCTGAGGCAGCTGCAGGGCTTTCCGTTTTATAGCAAACCCATGGTGAGTCTCCTTGGTGTTATTAACTGCTATCGTCACAGCTGACTTAAGGGCAACCCTGAAGAGTTTCCACGGCAAGAGGTGTACAGAGGAGGTTTGCGACGGCCTGCCTCTGTTTAGCAGTGCTGGATTTCCGCGGTGGTCTCCCCTCCGCATGCTGTCCAAACACGACCCTACTTAGCTTCTGTGAGCCGATGAGATCAGGCTAGCCCGGGCCATCCAGGCCAAGGCAAGGGACATTCAGAGGTGGGTTGGCCATCGCCGGCCTCTGCAGAGCGACCCTGGACTTCCTCGGTGGCCTCCCATCCAGATCCTATCCAAACATGACCCTGCTTGTAAAGGTAAAGGTGTCCCTTGCTCGAAAGCCAGTCGAGTCCGACTCTAGGGTTGCGGTGCTCATCTCCGTTTCCAAGCCGAAGAGCCAGCGCTGTCCGAAGACGTTTCCGTGGTCACGTGGCTGGCATGACTAGACACCGAGGCGCACGGAACGCTGTTCCCTTCCCACCGAAGCGGTACCTATTTATCTACTTGCAATCTCTTGCTTTCGAACTGCTAGGTTGGCAGGAGCTGGAACTAGAGACGGGAGCTTGGGGGGGTCAACAGTGGGAGGGCTTCTTATGTCCTGGCCCCACTGGTGGACCTCCTGATGGCACTGGTATTTCTGGCCACTGTGTGATACAGAGTGTTGGATTGGATGGGCCTTTGGCCTGATCCAACATTGGCATCTCTTATGTTCTTATGTTCCTCTTCTATCCACTTGTACCTATCCTGGTATCCAGTGTTTTCTCTAAGCTGAGTTAGTGTGAGCCAGCTCACAGTTTTTTAGCCTCCGGCTCACACATTTTTGCCTTTGCTCAAGAAGGAGGGCTCCAGAGCAAACCCATTGATGCAGCAGCCAAATCGCTGGCTCACAGCTTGAATGCCAGCAGCTCACCAAGTGGAATTTTTGCTCACAAGCAGTGCTCCCTCTAAGCTGCGGAGTCTTGTGAGCAAAAATCCTGCTTGGTGAGCTGCCGGCATTCAAGTGGTGAGCCAGCGATTTGGCTCCTGCGTCAATCAGTTTGCTCTGGAGCCCTCCTTCCCGAGCGAAGACAGAAACGTGTGAGCCGGAGGCTAAAAAAAACTGTGAGCTAGCTCACACTCACTCAGCTGAGAGGGAACACTGCTCACAAGACTCCACATCCCTCCTTGGCCACACCTGCTCTCTGTGACATCACAGGCCCCGCCGGCAGCACAAAAGAGACCACGTAGACAAAAGAGACCTGGAATTCACTGCCACAGGAAGTGGTGGCGGCTACAACCATGGGTGGTTTCAAGAGGGAATTAGATAAGCATATGGAGCAGAGGTCCATCAGTGGCTATTAGCCACAAGGTCTAGATAGGGGCTCTGGGGCAAGTGATGCTCTGTATTCTTGGTGCTTGGGAGGGGTCATCAGTGGGAGGGCTCCTACTGTCCTGGCCCTGGACCTCCTGATGGCACCTGGTATTTCTGGCCACTGTGTGACACAGAGTGTTGGGCTAGATGGACCATTGGCCTGATCCAACATTGGCATCTCTTATGTTCTTGTGTTCAGGTAAGGAGATCAGAAGGGGGAAAGGATGGCCAGGCTGAGGGGGACAGAGTGATGATGGGGACACCAGGAAGGCTGACCCTGCTTAGCATCTGAGATCTGGTGAGACCGGTCTAGCCTGGGCCATCCACGTCAAGGGCAGCTTAGGCTAGTGACCAGTGTTCCCTCTAAGCTGAGTCTGTGTGAGCCAGCTCACAGTTTTTTAGCCTCCAGCGCACACATTTTTGTTTTTGCTCATGAAGGATGGCTACAGAGCAAACTCATGTATGCAGCAGCCAAATCGCTCACTCACAACTTTCATGCCAGGAGCTCACCATGTAGAATTTTGTTCACAAGACGCCACAGCTTAGTCCAGGGGTGTCAAACACGCGGCCCGGGGGCTGGATCAGGGCCCCCGGAGGGCTTCTCTCAGGCCCGCAGCGGAACTGGCCGTCTCCTGCTGCTGCTTCCGGTTCTGCTGCTGCCGCCTCATAGGTTTGCAGCTGACAGATACACACACCTGAACAGTATACTCAAGACTGCAACAGCACAGACATTTCGATGCGCTAATTCAGAGCGAGAGGAGTCAGTTATCAGGCACTGTTCAATAAACAAAATATTGCCGGAGTGCTACTGGTTTAAGCATGTTTGTATTTTAAGTTTTTTTAAAAAAAACCCAAACCCTTTGTGTTTGTGTCCTTCATGAAGTTTATCTCTCCGCTACCTGGCATCCCATTTTATGGCACACAATAAGTTCTCATGTATTTTTTTTTTAATCTTTATTTTTTATGTAACATTTTGTGTGTGTTACATGTTAACTTTTCTCCCGTACATTACACATCTCTTTATAAGCCCTCTCCCTCCCCCCGTATCCATTCTAGGTAGGTCTTCCATTTCATTCTGATTTCTGTGGTCTTTTCTGCCCATATGGTCTTCCGGCTCAGCTTTGCGATTATGTCCGACTGTATGAAATCAAACAAATAATTATGCCAGATTTCTACTGTCCATTTACTCTTGTCCTTCCAACCCAGAGCAATCACTGCTTTACTTGCTAATATCATAGCTTTAAATGTAGCTTGATTTTCCTTACTTACTGCTGGGTTCCCAGTTGTGCCCATTAGCATTAGATTAAAGTTTATGGTCAATGAAACTTTACATATTTTCCCTGTAATTTGTAAAATTTTTGTCCAAAAAGCTCTAGTCTCTGGGCATTCCCACCACATGTGGGAAAACCAGCCCTTACCCTGATTACAGTGCCAACACATGGGGCTCGCTCCTGTCTCATATGTCAGATCCGGCCCACATAACAAATGAGTTCGACACCCTTGGCTTAGAGGGAGCATTCCTCGTGACCCTCCCTTGCCACGCCCGCTCTCTGTGACCTCACAGGCCCCGCCCACAGCAAAGAAGAGACCGGGCAGGCGAGGAGACCGGAAGGAGGGAAAGGGAAAGGAGAGGCTGGCTAAGGAGGGCAGACATTAGGGGTCCGATAATATGCAAAGGAGTCCCTGCTACAAAAAGAGCCCTAGTGGTGGGGCGTTAGGGTTGCCAGCTCTAGGTTGGGAGACTCCTGGAGACTTGGGGGTGGAGCCTGGGGAGGGCGGGGTTTGGGGAGGGGCTTCAGCAATGCCATAGAATTCACCCTCCAAAGCACCCCTTTTCTCCAGGAGAACTGATCTCTGCAGATGAACTCTGGTTCTCGGAGGTCCCCAGGCCCCACCTTGGGGTTGGCATCCGTAAGCATTACCCAGACGTAGCATGACTTTGGATCCATCCCCATGGTTCCGAACCCCCGGCTCAAGGAGGGCGGCAGCCTTGCTGGAGCGGAGCAGAAACGGTTTAACACAGCGAAACGTGTGTAATCTTCTTGTTTGAAACAGCGCATCCAGTACGCGAAGACAGACTCCGACGTCATTTCCAAGATGCGTGGGACCTTTGCGGACAAGGAGAAGAGGAAAGAGAAGAAGAAGTCGAAGCTGCTGGAGCAGTCCGCGAACGCAGCGAAGAAGCCCAACCAGGTAAGCCGCGTTTGCAAGCCAGCTGTTCGGGAACGGGGAACGTCATTGGTCCAAGAATGAAACCTCTCAAACGTGTGGTTGCCTTGAGCTGTTAATTCTTGGCAAGGTAACTATATTGGGGTGGGCTACTGAAGAGAATTATGCATGTTTTGCCAGCCGCGCTAAGCCTTTTTAGCTCCCAAACTTTCCCCTTTGTGCCGAGGACGTGTATGTTCCTTTGCTGCCATAGCGAGAGGCGAAGGAGCCCCTCAGTTGGACTTGGTTTAGCATGGCGGAAAGTGTGGTAGTATTGGGGGAAGGGAAGTATTTAAGTCACGCAGGCCTGGCTGTTTAATTTCGCTCTGCCGTGTTCCGTGGACTTGTTTTTCTGAGTTCGAAAATAGTGTTACGCTTCGGTTCACCCATCCTCCTGATCCTTCAAAAATATTAACTTCTCTTTGCCGAAAGCGTCCTGTGTTGCAGTGGACAAAGTAGGGCTTACCCGTGCCAGAGAATTAAGGGTCAGACTTTCTTATTTGACGTGCATTCTTTGGATGAAAATGGTCCCTTTTTGCCCCGGCCTGGGTAGCCCAGGTAAGCCCGATCCCGTCAGATCTCGGAAGCTAAGCAGAGCCGACCCTGGCAAGTATTTGGATGGGAGACCTCCAAGGAATAGCAGGGACGGGAGGCAGAGGCAGGCGCAATAGAAAGCCACCATACTAAAGGTCACCAGAAGTCAGCCATGACTTCCTGGCACACACACATACACATATGGAGCAGATTAGCACA